AAAAAGATTGATAAATATATTTTAAAAAAATTTAGGAATAAGAATGCTTTGAAAAAGTGGGGATGTCATTACATTGAAAGAATTTAAATGGACAAGGAAGGTGAAGAAAATCAAAGATGCCTGTGAACAGTTGGTCTAAAGGACAACACGAACCCCAGCCTCCAGGACCCCGAGGCCAGAAGAACCAGAAGTGGCCCGGCTACCACTTCCAGCCACTCTGAAAGGGTTCCCCTAGGAGCCTGGGTAGAGTAAGAGAAAAACGTGGAATAAAATGCAAACATTTTTAAAAAGAGCAGGCTTACAGGTCTGACAGTCTGGTGGGACGGTGACCGAGATGACAGCCCTTGTGTGCTGTCAAGTCGGAACTGAATCGTTGCTGACCCTCCAGTTGGTTTTCAGAGGCAGTAAATCACACAGGAGGAGACTGCCCATCTTCCTCCACTCCCTCACGACCACTGAGACTATAAGCCTGTAACCAAAGTTACCCCCACGGCACAACTTCCAACCCAGTAACAGGCAGGCCTAAGAGAAACCCTGCTGGCCCAGTGGATTAAGTATTGCACAGCTATCAAAGGTTCAAACCCACCAGCTGCTCTCCAGGACAGTCTCTGTTCTGTCCTTCAAGGCCACTATGAGTCAGAACCAACTCAGTGGCAGAGTGATAAGGTGAACAGTAACTCCAGGGAAGCTGGCACACCCTAGAACAACCAACTCTAAGAGGTCAAAAGGCAGCATCTACCCGCCTCAGAAGGCAGAAAGGGTGAATGGAAAAGGTGAAAAAGTGGAAGAGTGCTGGTACCCTGTGGGGCTGAGTCATTGTCACGAATCAAAACAAGGACGAATTCCTGAGTGGAAAAACAAGACGCTTTATCAATTTCCAAATCACAAGTAAAATGTTTAAAAAGATAAACTAGGAGGAAGATCATTCAAATCTTTCATCTGGAATTTTTCCTGCTGCCTACGGTTTTTCTGGAGTTCTTCCCGTCAAAATGAATAAATTTTCGCCTGTGGTCACTGCGGCACCGAAGGAGCGGAACAAAAAAATGTATGGACGTGAGGACGACAAGAAGTGGGGAAAGTTCGATTACACTGCGAGTATTACAATTAATGATCTAAAACAATGTTTGTGAATGGTTAAGTTCCCAATATGCTTTGTAAACTTCCTCTCAAATTACGTTTTAAAAGGGATGGGTTGTGGGTGGTTATGAGGTCTCTACACATCTCTCAGGGTTGGAAAAAAAATCACATAAATAAGCCAACATTCATAAAAATATAAAGTCTACATCATATACCCTGTATTTATCAAGTCCTTTCACGATTCTTAACAGGGCTCTGGGGTAGACAGGACAGAGGTTACACGATGTGTACACATGGGATCCATAAAACCGGGTATTCTGGCTCCAGACTGACAGGGAACACACATCCCGCCTTTCTCAGCTGGAGCCCCCCAGCCCGATCCCGTCCACCCAAGTGCAAAGCCAACCCGTCCCTCCACCTGTCAAAACTAGCCCTTGCACCGCCCTCCTGCTGAAGGCGGTCCTATGATTGGCCTTTGCTCCTGCCAATCGACGACCTCCCTTGGTCCCGCCTCCAGGCTGACACTCACTTTCACCGGTTTGGGCAAAATGGCGCCGCTGCGGGTAACGATGACTGACCTCGACGGTACCAGGCTCCGACCTGAGCTGCCGCGAACGGCAGAGGCATCGTCACCTTGCCTCAAGCTCGGCCCGCTCCGGAGAACCCCCGATCGGACGGTGGCCAAAGCCAGCCGGCGAGCCGCCCAGGACGCCATCTCCCAGCTCCGCCCCGAGCGCGGACACTGGACCCCACTGACCGGGCCGGCGACGCCCTCGAGAAGTCCAGCCTCCGGAAGTCTCGCGATACTCTAGAGACCGGCTGAGAGTCCCAGCCCTGACATTCGCGCAGTGCTCCCGCTTCCTGGTGGTGGGTGGGAAAGAGCCGGACGCTCTGCGTGGTGACGTCACTGGGACTACGCCCCGCCCTCCTTCTAGGTTCCGGTGGGCGGGGCCCTCAGCCTGAGCGCTGGTGAGGTCTGGGTTCTGTCCTCTTCGCGCGGAGGGGACAGCTGGGGCCCCGGGCATAGCAGCCCTCACAAGGTGATTTTTT